CATCTTTGTGGTCTCCTCTGGACTTCTGTGCTTGGATGTATAGAAGACCTCTGGCTAAATTGTTCCAGAATTAAAATGTGCAGAGAAGTTCATGTTGCCCTCCAGTGCATGTGTGGTTTGAAAACCTTTTTCATCCAAACATAAAATTATCATTATATGTTTATTGAGGAAATATTTTTTTTCTGCACAATCCAAATTATTCTGTTAAAACTATGGACTTCCTCTGTGTAGCTGCAGAATGATTGTTCTGGTACGTGTTAGCGTCGAGGGAGCCCGCAACGTTTGTCTGACTTGGTGACTTGGCAGTGCGTGGCAGTGCTGGTACACATGTTAAGGTGCAGTTGAAACAGGGTTTAAAGTTCAGCTTCTTGGTTTCACCTATAAAACAGAATGTCAGTTTTCCTATAATAACTATGTGCTTTTTAAGCAAAATGTTATTATTTGATTGTTTATAAATGAAATATCTCATTAGAGTTAGTTAATAGGGAAAAACCCACCCTTCTCCTTTTTTCCTTCGGGGCGGGAGGGCAAGCAAAGGCAACGCCTTACGTGTGTTGTGTGTGTATATATGTAAGTGTGTACTTTGTGTATGTGTGTCTATGCAGAAATGGTCTCCATTGTCTCAGGCCTTCAGTGGTCACAGGGGGCTAATGCAGACTCAAAACAGTCCCCTGCTTAAAATTAACTGGCATTTTGTGCGTGAGCTGTAGTCAAAGTGAGGTTGTCATTAAGCCATTGACTTTTTATAGTCGTCTGGGTTATGAAACAGATTTGGGACGTAATTCAGACAACTCCTAAGTAGTGCTGTTCAGATAACTAAGCTGATCATTGCCCTTGGGCTGCTGCTGCTGTGCGTAGCACAGAGTGCAGGCAAGCACCAGGGCAGGAACGGGCTCCTTTCCTTCGTGTCACAGCTGGCCCAGTGGCCCTGCTCTTCAAGGACTGTGGGGTTTCAGGGGTTTCATCTCTAGCGTGGCAGACTCCACCATGCCGAAAGCTTAGTGCAGCACAATTGTAGAAGCCTTTTAGAGGGGTGCTATCATTTAGGAGCAAGTTTCCCTTTTCCCTTTCTTATCCTTTTTCAGGACAAAGAATGTAGGCGTCTCAGCCAAAAGCAGATCCCACTGCGATCCCCATCATTATGAATCTTCTCATAAAAGTATAAACTACTTAAGGTTGATGTTAAAGTTTTTATGGTAATTAGAAATACTTTGCAGGGTTATTCCCTTTGCTTTGTGTGCTGTATATTTTTCTTCATATGAAAATGTCACATCATTATTCATTTCAAAAAAGATCCTGACGAAATGACGTTGGCCTGGAGCTAACTTTGACCATTTGTATTACTGACTTAAAGATGTGAGTTATTGCAGTGTATTAAAAGAAAGTTCTGTAGTCAGGCTGGAATTCGGAAGAAGAATGCGACTTGGTTGACGCTCCACAGGCAAATCTGTGGAGTGGCCACAAGGGATTGAAGCATATCTGACCTAATCCAGGGACTAGAAACTGAAGTTTCTTGTAGTACTAAGGCAGAATTGTGGTGGTCTCTGGTTTGTGTTAAGTGCAACCTAACAAATTTTCTCTCAGGTTTTATAAAACTGCCTTTTTTGGTATTCATTTTTCACATGAGCCTTATGTGAGTGCTGCAGAGGTGTTGCTAAGCTCAGGGACATTTAATAATAGGGGGTTTGCCAAATGGTAGCGGAGTTACTAGAATACTGTTTGAAGTCAGTGTTACTGTAGTAAATTACAAAACCTTATAGCTAATGAGACTCGTCTGCCTGTAAACCAAAATTGTAGTGATAGTTTGGGTTTTGACCTTTCTTTTTGTCAGTGTTCCCCTCTCCCTCCCTCTTGTTGGCAGGGATGGGAATCCTTTACAAAATGAATGTGTTTCTTTAACTTCAATTATCTTAAAATTTTGGCTTTGGGCTGTTGAGAATTGTAAGATGTGCTGAATTTTCATTGCTTCTGGTGTAATTATTCATATCTTTTTCCATGTAGTATTGAAATAATTAATCTCTGCAGGTAGACATCATCAAAAGAATATTAGCTCAGAATGATTAACTGTAAATCTTACTTTCCTCTGCTGTTTAGGGCCACTGTGAAAAATTATTCATTTTTAACTTTGTAAATAGGCAATAATAGGAAAATTTATTTTCAAGATGTTTTATGGAAGTTTTGAACCTTCCTGTCTGCATCTAGACTTCTAATAGACATAAATCACATTGAAGGAAATGTTGAAGTATTACAGCTGTTGACTGTGGAAAAAAAGATCTATTATGTGCATTTCCTCTATTTGCTTAATTGCATTCTTTTGAAATCTTACTTGTTTCTTGTCAGTGTGGTTCTTTTTCACCACATTCAATTCCCACAGAGATTATTATCCTCAGACTGTCACTAACGCTCGTATTTTTTTTCTTTACAATTCCTAACATTTTATTTTGCATAAGGTAAGACACAGCGTTGTCAGACAGTTTACTACGTAACTTCGGTCCCTTCCTGTAGAACATGCTGAAGTTTTTTATGGAGAAACAAAATTCCTCTCCAAGGTGTTCTCTGAAGTAAGCATGTCTAATGGGAAGGAGGCAACTGGGGCTCTGTAGACAGCTCAAGCAACATTTTCCAGAGCCATTTTTGGGTCTTTCTGAGAGGTAGCAATACAAAGGAGCCAGGAACCCCTCCATAGACATATTTCCATCTCTCCTACCTCCCAGAAGACTTGATTGTGGAAGATTTTTCAAGAATAATCTAGGTTGGAAACTGTGGGAAAACAGATGCTGAGCAGAATGTCTCTGCTACGGGTTGTCATAGCAATGGTGGGGGGATGGTTTGAGCTCTAGATAGGTCTTTACTGTCTAGAGTGTGTGTGTGTGTACTAAAGAATTAATCTGATTATTGGTTTGAGAAATTAGGTGTATTTTTGTAGTATGTAATACAAAACCATCTCGATGTTTTGCTTTTTGCCAATGCCAAAAATCTGATTAAGCAGTTTGTTCTGTTTGCACATGCACGTATTGAAATGGCATGCCCATTTTATCTCTGTGTGAGATCAAACCCAGTTTTTCAACCTGCTCTTCTAGCTTTTGGATACTCGTTTTGGAAACTTCCAAAAAAAGTATACCTTACCTAGAAAAATCTTCCTTTCATTCCCATATTACCTGTCTTTATTCCTAGGAATGTAGTTCCTCATGGGCTGTTCGCATCATAATCGTTATGTAAACAAGAACAGTAGAATTACTCGTGTCGATAAAGAACAGTATATATATACACACACAGACTAGAGGGAGAGTCACATTTTATAAGGTGAACGGAGTTCCAGCACTGAAGTGAATGGGGACAGCAGTCTGTCGGAAAGGCCTCAGCGGTAGTGGGTGAAAGTGTGGGTGCTGGCTAGTGGTAAATCACAGCAATGTTGAGGTCTCATTGTAAAAATACTGTGTAGCTCTGAACGCTGAGTGCCTCTCTCAAATTAGTACAGTTGGAGTTTGAGACTTCCAGTGAAAAGTTCGTCTGGATTTTTCCAAAGGCTGCAGTGATCTCTGATGTGAGATCTTAGCCAGGCTGGAAAGTTGAGTGAAATGAGATAAGTATTTCTTAACTTTTAGGAAGAAGGAGTGGCAGGGGATTCTTCCCCCCCCCCAGTGTACTTTCTAATATAATTTGTATTGCATAAAAGAAAATGTTGATAAAACAGAACCTTGCATATTAGGTTCATGATCTGCACATCTTCAGTCAGTTATTTTGGATGTAATACAGTAAATCCAAGATTTTATCTTGGACTTTCGACTTTTACTGTAAGGGCACACAATTGTGATTCTGTTGTTTACGGTTATTTCATTTTTACAAGTCTTCTTTGTTATCACTTATTGATGTGCTTTTTACAGGGCTGGAGCCTTTTTATGTTAGTTATCATTTACATGCAGCCTGTCAGGACCCCAGTGCAGCTGCTCTGGATGAAACAGAGCAAGTAGCTATTGCTGCATAGAGCTGCTGGCTGGATTCAGTGGAAACCAAGCAAGCACGTGCTTCTGCAAAGCAACACATCTCTCGACATCCTTCACTTGAGAGCTCTTGTGCAGGTCCAGCTTCTTGATAGCCAGTTAGTGCAGTCTGGTTGCCTGGGACGTTGTGCTGGAGCTCTGCCCTCTCCCTTTGCAGGACATGGAGTTACAGTGACTGGCTAGATGGTATAAACACCTCCTTGGGTGTCTGTGCTCTCGGGCTGTGATCAGGTGACAGTATTTTTTCGGAGATGTGTCATTTGTTTTCCGTTGGGAAGCTCTCCAGAGAGCATGCTGGTGTGATGGCAACGTGTGGGCCTTGAGGGTGAAGCGCTCCTTCGCAGCCAGTGCTGACAAACGTCTAAGTGGGCTAACGGAGCGGCGTGGTTAACAAGCGTGGTGTTTAATGGCGTGTTCCGCCCCGCTTTCCAGCCTACTACACGCGTGATATCTTCAAAGCTGCTTCGTCTACTAGTGCTGTGGCTTTTCTCTGCTTTGACAGCAGAAGGGCTGGATGGTCGCACTCAGAGCTGCGGTCAGTATCGCAATGTCTGAGTGTAGACCAGCGATGAGTGACGTTCCTCAGGGGTCGGTGTTGGGACCAGCTCTGTTAAATATCTTTGTTGGCGACATGGACAGTAGGATTGAGTACACTGTCAACAAGTTTACTGATGACACCAAGCTGTGTGGTGTGGTGACACACTGGAGGGAAGGGATGGCATCCAGAGGGACCTGGACAGGCTGGAGAGGTGGGACCATGCCAACCTCATGGAGTTCAACAAGGCCAAGGGCAAGGTCCTACACCTCGGGGCAATCCCAAGCACAAGGACAGGCTGGGTGGAGAGTGGATGGAGAGCAGCCCTGAGGAGAAGGACTTGGGGGTACTGGGGGATGAAAAGCTGAACGTGAGCCGGCCGTGTGCGCTGGCAGCCCAGAAAGCCAACCGTATCCTGGGCTGTATCCAGAGCAGCGTGGCCAGCAGGGCGAGGGAGGGGATTCTGCCCCTGTACTCTGCTCTGGTGAGACCCCACCTGGAGTGCTGCGTCCAGCTGTGGAGCCCGCAACATCAGAAGGATACAGACCGGTTGGAGTGGGGCCAGAGGAGGCCACAAAGATGCTCCGAGGGCTGGAGCCCCTCTGCCATGGGGACAGGCTGAGAGAGTTGGGCCTGTTCAGCCTGGAGAAGAGAAGGCTCCGGGGAGACCTTATAGCACCTTCCAGTGCCTGAAGGGGCTACAAGGAAGCTGGGGGCGACTTTTTACAAGGGCCTGTAGCTACAGGACAAGGGGTAACGGGATTAAATTGAAAGTGGGGAAATTGAGATGAGTTCTAAGGAAGAAATTCTTGCTGGTGCTGAGTGTCTGTCAGTGGCCAAAGGCAGCCCACTGTTACTGCGGAAAAAAAGCTACAAACCCTCCTTTAAATTTTCCAAATTGATTTTCAGGTTGCTTAGTTCTTCTGTCCCCTTACAAAAACATGCAGGAGCTCCCTCTCCCCTACGCATGTGCTTTGTCCTTAAGCCGTAAGTTATCCTCCTTGGTTTATGACAGTTGCCTCTGATTTTATGCTGCCAGGCAAGGCTCAAATTTTAGAGATGCTTGCTGTCACGAATCTTGAAAGGCTGCTGCTGTACCAGAGGTACAAGGCAGAGACTCTCTGTGAGGTAATAACCTTGAAATTAGTAGGCACAAGGGAACAGTTAAATTCCTACACCCACGTGTGACACTTCTGCGATCTAGACCAGTAGTAAGCATGTCAAGTTTGTAGCAGAACGCAAACATACATGGTTACTGTGGCATAAGCATAGATAATGTGAATAAGTATTGTAAATTAAGCCTTACCTGTTGTATCATTAAAAAGGTGTTGAAAAAAGGTCTTTTATTTCAAAGATTCAGTATTCTCAGCCCTGAAAATATTTCTCAAAGAACTCTGTCATCAATTTAACTCCTAAAGTAATTAGCAGCTTTGTAAATAAACCAAGGTCAGGAGCTATGACTGTAGGAGGAAGTGAGCAGTTATTTGCTTTATGGTGTGAACTACAAAATACGGAAGTGAAACAGCATCCACATTCACAACAAACGTTTGAACACCTCTGTCCTTTGCCACCTTCTCTTTTTATGGCATTTCAAACCTTTTTAGACCCTACAGGTTTAAAGAGGTGTGACAACTTAATGTAAAATGTGGAACAAAGAAGAGGAGTCAGTGTGTCTCTGAATTCAAGGGCCAAAAATTTGGGTGTGATGACAGCAGCAGCAGGAAGCTAAGAGCAATGTCTGTTTTGAATCCAGAACTGTGTGGTTTTCATTTGTTTTTCTCTTGCGGGGCGATTACTCACAGAGTTTTCTGAATATTAAAATTCAGAAATGATGACTCCCAAGAAGTTACTTGAGCTTCTGTCCTTGATCTCAATGAGTCTTGATTTCATGCTAATTATCTATGCTAGGATAATTATAAATCGATTCATTTTCATAATACAATTTTATGGGTATTCAATTGCTGCCAACAAAATATTGGAGAAACAGCATCATTCCTGTGTTTGTTTAAAGCCATAAAGTCTTTCTGGGTGTCTGTATTTGCATGTAATAATATTTATCTGGTGCTACTTACATTAATGAAGACACTGATAAATAAGTTCTGTTTACTTTTTGAAGCTCATCTTTATTTTCCTTCCTGAGTCTGAGAAAGTTGTGTTTGCTTTTTAAATCTTTTTATATTTATTTTGTGAATTCTTTAATTTCTAAGGCTTTTTTTCCATCTTCATCTTTTTTGAAAGAAATGGAGCTCTGTCCTGATGCAGACGGTCTGTGGAATAAAAATGGAAATTGGTTTCACTTGGCATCAGTCGAAGTACATCGTGTCTAAGTAGCTGTTCCTACGTGAGCTTCCAGGGCAGACAAGGGGGAGAAGGGAATGTTGACCTTGCATTATGGAGCGGAGTTGGGGCAGGGGGGCTTTGCAAACAGTTCTTGAATTGTTTCTCGTATACCTTAAGGTTTTAATGGCTGGCGCTCTGTCTCCGTTCTTGCAGTTAACTCCAGTTGGAACAACCATCTTTACAGGATTTTCTGGAAACAATGGTGCTACTGACATTGATGATGGTCCGAACGGCCAGATAGAATATGTCATCCAGTACAATCCTAATGACAAGGTGAGTGCATTTAGCTGCTTTTTTCGTTTCAGAAGTGTGTACACCTTGCAGCCACAAATGAACAAGGGGTTCCTGTTGCACTTGATAAAGAAATTCTTTTCTTGGCAATGTAGAATAACTTCTCTGCTGCTGAGTCTTGCTTGCCATGTAAACACAGCTGAATTTACCTTCTCTTTCATTGCCCTGCTGTTAGCAGCTGGATTACTTCTGTATCAATCATTAATAATCCCCTGTCTTCTCCAGTGTTGTTCACACACTTCATCTTGGTTTTTGGGTTGCCTTTTCGTTCTGTGATAGGTAGTTGCATTTTAGAATCGTAGAACGGTTTGGGTTGGAAGGGACCTTAAAGATCGTCTAGTTCCAACCCCCCTGCCATGGGCAGGGACACCTTCCACTAGTCCAGGTTGCTCCAAGCCTCATCCAGCCTGGCCTTGAAGACTTTCAGGGATGGGGCATCCAGAACTTGTCCTCAGTTTCTGCTACACGTTTATACCTAATAGATTCACAGCTAAGAAATATTCATAGGCATGGCTAAGTTACTCTCAGAAGAGACATTCTGACTCTTTTTGATGGAGCCATTTGTATTTAAAGATCACTGTTTAAAAAAAAAAGGGATATATAGTATTAAAATAAAACTGCACTGATCTCTAGCTGTTATCTTTGCAAAAGCATACTTTTAGAGACAAAAAGCTTAAAGTGTCAAAATAAATTCTTGTTAGGGTCATGTGTGTGAATGTCTGTGTTACAGGAAGTTTTGCATGTGGGTGATTAGTGTGAAGTGTCCAAAGGCATTTGGTCCATATGTCCATATGACTCTAAGAGCATCTCCCGCAACTGCAGTAGCCTCACGTTCAGCAGAGGTGTTTGTCCAAACGCTAGTGAAGGACATCAGAGCATCACTAAATGGTTTGATCTGGTGTTTTGCAGCAGGAAGAGTTGAAAAAAGTTTCCTAAAAATTCTCTCTTCCTCTCAGTGAAAGTACTTGCTCTTGTTGAGGGATTTGCCTGGTTGGAACAACTTCTTTGGAGTAGTTAGTTGCTTTATTACATCTTTGCCTTACTACTTCTGTATTCCAGATTAAATAAATCTGATTCTTTTATCAGTCTTTATGCACATAATATTGCTTTACCTAGTGATGCGTTTTGTGCACGTGCATGACAGAGATGACTTCTCATCCTTGCAAGCTGCTTCTCTCAGCTGTCAATGTGCCAGAAAGTTACTGCATATTATCTGGAGTGGATTTTCTTCCTTAACCTTAGCAAACGGTTATATGATGCTCAAAAATGATGTGTACAGGATACTGCGAAATATCTCTCCTTTCTACTTCTAGGATCTGCCTCTGCTGTGTGATGAAGAAGCCTGTGGTAGTGTTTGGCACCAATGACAGTCTCCTGCCTTAAAAAAAGCAGGCTGTTTATAGGTCGTGAATTTAATTGGAGAATAATGTAGATGTTTAGAAAAAAAGAAACAAAACCCACAAACCAAAACAAAACCAAACCCCACACTATAAAAACCAAGAGTTGTTATTCCAAAATTCAATTTAACTTAATTATTTTGTTATTTAATTGGAAAGAAGTGTAAAAAACAAGTAGAAAAATGAATGCAAATCATAGTGGACATAGGGCTGTGCTCTAGCTATCAAGTAAAGGAATGCTATAAAACTTAACCATTAAAAGCTAAGAATCGAGTCAATTAACTTCCCCAAAAGATTCTGTTTCCTAATGCAGAGTCAGTTTTTAGATCTCTGAGAGCTCTATTTATATCCGAATGTTAAGACAAGTGCCTCCTTAAAACAAGTTCTGGACTCCTTCCTTATCAGCTTACTTCACTGAAATTCATTGTATTCTGTTTGGTGAGAATTCAAAATTAAATATTTTGAGTTTATCTGGAGCTTGGGTATATGCAGAATGCTTTTAGTATACTGATTTTTCAACTGTCTCTCTGGGGAGTGAATTGAATGGTTATCCTGGTGACTTTCCCATTTTAAATTCACTGGCCAGTATTAGAGGCTGTGGGCCAACAAATGTTGTAAGTGATGAAACCTGCTGTATGAAAGTGGTGTTTTGTCTCTATTTTGAACTGAAAGGAGAAGCAGTTTCCTTTTCTTGGTGTAAGTGGGTGACAAAGCAGTGCCTTGGTATTCTTGACTTCCAGAAATGCTCTGGCTCATTTCCCTATTGGATGGAAATACATCTGAGATGTGATGGCGTTGTGCATATCTTTTAATTAGCTTCATTATGATTTGGGTTGCAGCAAAAATGCAGTATGCAGAGGGATCACAGAATTGATCTGGTGTGGTACCTTCTGGAGCTGTGGAGCAAACTTAGGTCTGGAAGTTAAGCTTTAAATCACCACCGAACAATTGCATTTCTGTGCTGTGTGGAAGGAAGAGGGGACTCCAGATATAAGCAGACTGAGAAGAGGTTAAAGTTTTTTGCTGAAATTGTGCTGATCCTTCCTAACAGTTTAAATTGTTGTCATGTTTTAACCTTGGCTAGCAATAAAATACCATGAAGCCACCTGCACACCTTCCCCCACCTCCTCTAGTGGAGGAGAATTGGAAGAAAAGACAAGGAAGCTTGTGAAATTGAGATAAGAACTATTTAATACCTGCATATAAATACATATTTTACATATAAAAATTAACATATAACAATACTGCTAATAATAAGTAATTAAAGTAATAGAGACTAAAACGTATGCTACAATTGCCCACCACCTGCTGACCGATTCACAGCCAGGTCCCAAGAAATGAGAGTCACAACCTGAGAGCTGGATCCTGAGGGCAATCGCAGCAAAGTCCAAGAGAGGCCTATGAGTGACAGAGTGACTGGGAAAGCCAACTGACCCACCAACTCACTCACGAATGAGTCAACAAAGGGGTTAGCAAAAGAGCTAGCAAAGAAGTTAGCAAAGGAGTTAAGGAGCTAACAGAAGAGTTAAGGAAAGAGTTATGCCCCCGAGCCCACTCCCCGCTTATGCCCCGATCATGCCGTGCTATGGAATGAAATACCCCTTGGTCAGTTGGGGTCAGCTGTCTGACTGTGTGTACCCCACACCCCCTGTAGTGAGGGAGCTGGGAATGCAGCTGCAGCATCAGAAGCTGAGAGAGACCTTGAACTTGGTGCAAGCACTCCCCAACACCAGCTGAAAAGACACCTTATCAATACTTTTCTCAGGGCAAATCCAGAAACAGAGCTTCATACCAGCCACTGTGAAGAACATTAACCCTGTCCTGTCTAAACCCAGGGTATTGTACAGTTCCATTTAAGTGCATCCTCATGCCCGGTTCTGCCAAGGAAAAGGCAGTTATTTTGAGAGTTCGTTGGCTGATTCTCAGCTGCAAAGTCAAAACCAGCTAGTTCTCGCCTTTTAAATGAGAGATAAATGGGCTAAAGCAATTAGGAGAATCTTCCAAGTGAACTGGATGCGACATGTGTGTGTTTGTGTGCACGCACTGTGTAGTTCACAACCTATTTTTTTGCTTGTCCAAATACCGTTAAAAGAAAAGGCAGGGATGGAGGAGCAAAACCGGTGAACCCAACCCTACTTGGTTCGTTCTTCCAACAGTAAGAGTCCAGTCTAGTTTTTCTGTTTTGCCTCAGTATCAGTATCGTAATAGATTATTTTTTAGTGCAAACTATGTGTCTTTTATTCGAAAAGATGAGGACCAAACTGAGATTTATGCAGTGTCTCCAGTTTAGTAGCCTGTGATGTACTTCCCAAGCCTGTTTTCCTGCACACCACAAATATCTGCCACATGTTGAATTTAACAATCATTTACTTGCTGCAAACCGAACTGCAGTATAAGCAGATGATTCAAATTTTAAGGAGCAAAAGTGGCCATGTTATCTCATGAAAGAATAGTACTCTGTACCTCTGTGGTGTGTTCTATGGAGAGCTTTTGGAATGTTGCATTGCTCTTATGCATTCGATCTACTGAGATGTTAACTATGTTCTACATAGATTGAATCATGATTTTTTATGTGATTGATTTGATAAAAGAACTGGAGCCAATTCTGACACATGAAACCTGTGTCTGTGCCTGTAATCCTCCTCCCAAAATGGGTTGTTAGTCAAAGTGAAATCTTTAAAGGTGTGTGCACCTCTGCAGTACCCTCTCCCATTTGTTGCCACACTTTTGCAGTCTGAGTCTGTTTAAGCAAATATGTAGGAGAAACTGAATTTCACCTGATTTCATAGAATTACAGACTGGTTTGGGTTGGAAGGGACCTTAAAGATCATCCAGTTCCAACCCCCCTGCCATGGGCAGGGACACCTTCCACTAGACCAGGTTGCTCCAAGCCTCATCCAGCCTGGCCTTGAACACTTCCAGGGATGGGGCATCCACAGCTTCTCTGGGCAACCTGTTCCAGTGCCTCCCCACCCTCTCCAGGAAGAACTTCTTCCTGATATCCAATCTAAACCTTCCCACTTTCAATTTAAACCCGTTCCCTTGTAGCCCCTTCAGGCACTGGAAGGTGCTATAACGTCTCTCCAGGCTGAACAAGCCCAACTCTCCCAGCCTGTCCCCATAGCAGAGGGGCTCCAGCCCTCGGAGCATCTTCGTGGCCTCCTCTGAACTCGCTCCAACCAGTCTATATCCTTCTGATGTTGAGGGCCCCACAGCTGGACGCAGCACTCCAGGTGGGGTCTCACCAGAGCAGAGTACAGGGGCAGAATCCCCTCCCTCGACCTGCTGGCCACACTGCTCTGGATACAGCCCAGGATACGGTTGGCTTTCTGGGCTGCCAGCGCACACGGCCAGCTCATGTTCAGCTTTTCCTCCCCCAGTACCCCCAAGTCCTTCTCCTCAGGGCTGCTCTCCATCCATTCTCCACCCAGCCTGTCCTTGTGTTTGGGATTGCATTTATCCTAAAGTCTTGGTTTGGTGGTGTATGAACATGTGCAGAACTATCGCTGTGAACTGGCACCTAACCGTGTAGCGTTGAAGTTCTCGGTATGTTTACTACTTTATTGCCCTTGGGAAGGGCAGAAGGAAGAGCAGGTAAATACGATGATGTGGATTTCTTAATCTTGAATACCTGGTATTTTCTACAATAGTGAGGAAAAAATAGGTGAAGGCAAGGCTAATTGTAGAAACCAGACCTGGATTCTCAGCCTGACAAGGGAATGCTTTTCTGAGCACACCTCAGTAGAAATCCAGCATGGCAAATCTGCAATAAACAGGATAGTTAGGCTTCAGTTTGTGGTTGGAAGTAGTAATGTATATGCAGAGGATCAGAGAGAATTCTGTTACGTACACATTATTTATTGTGGGGTACTTATGGAGAAGTTGGTTGGTGAGGAAACACAGGAAACTAATGTGGGAAGTGTATGCAACTTGGTTATGCCATCCAAGCGATTGTCTCGTTGTGGCCTACCTGAAGCTTGCTTTGACTTCAGTTTAATTGTACTGTTTTGACTTTTACAGACTTCCAACAGGACCTTTGATATTCCTCTCACTTTGTCTGGAGCAGTAGTTCTACGGGAAAGACTAAATTATGAAGAGAAGACTCGTTATTTTGTGATTGTACAGGCAAATGTAAGTACTGATCTCTTAGTAGCCCTTTATGCCACTGAATTAGGTGGGGTTTTAGTTTGCAGATTTAGAGTTTTCCAAGGAAAGGAAAAGCCTTGCTGAAATACAAGGTCTAATAATACTCTTCTCTTGAGGATCTTGTTTAAGGTTTATCTGAGTCATCGAAGGCTTTGACATGTTATTACTGGTTAAAAAAGCTTGCTCAGTCGTGTAACAAGACAGCCTCTTTTGGCACAAGGAACAAGTTGCAAATCTGAAGTACAGTCCATGCAGAAAAGTGCATCCTAGTGTCCCTAAGTGTTCATTTTTCTAACAAATCTAGCGATGCTAATTTGATCTCAGATGAGTGTAATGGATAAAATTTCGTTGTATCCTTCAGGTTTGAAATGCGTTGTTCTGTGAAGAGTTGATTTTTCTTTCAAGTCATATTGCAAGTGTACACAGAGGTTTTCACAGAGAGGCTGGCAGAGGATAATGCATACCGAGAAGTGATGTTTAAACTCTGTCCATCAGCGAAGATTTTGGTGCCCTTGAGGGGCTGTGACAGCTTTTTTCCCTTTTTGCCCTTCTGACAATAGCTGAAATGAAAACTTTTCCTCTGGTGTTTACCTCTCTTGTGATACTGCTTCTCTTGTGAGAAAATGAGAGTGCTCTGAAACAACTTCAGGTAGCTTGCTCTTAAATTTACGCATTTCTGTTACTGTCACCTTTCTGATACAGAATTGTAGATACACTGAATGACACATTTTACAATCCACTTAACCTACATATTTTAGGGCACGTGCAGCATTCCCCCAGTGGAAGGTAGGCTCCGGGGGTGTCTCCGTGCTTGTTGCACTTAGACGTAGCTAAAGATGCTTCTTGGTTATGGCTGTTAGAGTGAGTTGTTTTACCTGGGCAACGTAACTTGCTGATCTCTTGAACAGGAATACAGGAAGGCTCAGAACTGATTTGGCTTGTTGCTTTATTAATAATTTACTCCGCAGATCACCACTGCGTATTCACAGCTCTTTTCCTTTGGCGTCGGAGCTGTGAGTTTCGTGAGGCACTGCGCTCCTAGACAAGTAACAGGGGTAGGTGAGCAGGTCACGTTTTTCAAGGGGAAGGCAGGGTGTGCAGCAGTGCCAACAGCTCGCGTGAGGAGGGGAGCACGTCGTGCTGCAGGAGCAACTGTCGAAGGCACCGCTCGGGATGCACGGTGTCTGTACGACAGAACAATCTCCTCTTAACTTGTTTATTCCTTTCAGTATGCATCCCAACGCAGGGAGTTGTCACCTCTGTGGTAGGGGGTTTGGCACCGGAGCTGTGCCGATAGCTTCTGTGTCGTGTTGACACCGAATGGGGCAGCTTGCATGATTGACATGTCTTGTGAGGCCCTGTATTTTCTCAAACGTACCCAAATGGGAACTGCGCTCACTATTACAGCTTTGAGTGCACGCAGATGAGAAACTAGTTCTAAAGAAAGGCTCAAATTAATCTCTGTAGCTCTGCTTTTTGAGGAGTTTGCCTTATGCATACTTTTTTTTTCATTCTACATGATGTTGTAGGCTGCATTTAATTCTCTCTGCTGTACGTACTATGCAATCATACTTCTACTCCACTGATTATATTAGCATTGATTGTTTATTGTTCTCTCATCCTGAAGATACTACATGAAATTACTTACTCCGTGTCTGCTTTGATCCACTGTTACTCAAAGGCACGTACCAGGGGAACGTGGGAAAGGTTTAACTGATGGTGAAGGCTTCTCCTTGTCGCTGTAATCATTTTTCATTATTGACCATGAAGGAGGCTAAATTCAGAAATTCCCATGTTTAGTAACTTTAAATGTAAAATTACTCTAAGTACCGAGTGGTCTGCAAAATAAGAAAACAAAAAAAGTGTATCCAGTATGATTTAGGGCAATGATTATCCCTCTTACATAGATCATGATATTAAAAAAAACTGCTTTTTGCCCTTCTGTCAGTGTTATTGTAGGATAGGAGGGCAAGACTTACCTAATGGCCCATATTCCCTCTGGAAGATTTTATTTTTGTCGAGAAAAGCTATCACAAGTGTTCCTCCTTGAAAACTGAGCTTTTTTGACTGTTTAAAAAAAATACTGGGTACTCGTGCTGTTTATTCACTATGATAACAGAAGAAGAAAGAAAAGGTGAACTGGTGCTGGTATGGTCAGTGTATAAAAGTAATCCGTGTGGTTCCCACAATTCAGGAAAGTGTAGTTCTGTTCTGTACTACCTGGAAAGAAAAAATAGGAGGCAGTAAAGAAGTTGCAATACTCAAAGGTGTCTTGGCTACCCAGAGATTAAAAAACCCACACCAATCCGAACCACCATATGTTGAAAAGAACCTGTCATGCAGCATGGAAAATTATTTGGGATGCAGCATTGTAGCTGTGTGACTGTGGACAGGAGTGTTCCTCAACCTTTAAAACATGAGCAGCGTAACTCATTCTCTAGACAAACCAGCTTTCCACAGGGGGTACGGTTTGGAGATCTCAGATCGACCTCACTGCTGTCCTCTGGCTGATGTGTTTTTTAGCAGGTGAAAGGAGATGCTGAATCTTTCTTTAACTGTGGCATCCAGAGGTGGACTGAGCACATACAGTCCAGGGGCTCTCTGCTGCCAATTAGAAAAGCAGAAATTATGTCTTATGCTTTCCATTTCTGAAAATGAAAGTCCTTTTACTGATAGGTAAGGTTTGGTAGAGCTACACACAGCGGCGCAGAGCAGTATATTTCCAATGACAGTTAAGGCATAAGGGTCTTTTTATCTTATACAAATATGCTGCACCTTTATAGATTTAACAAGATGCATCTTCATTTCACACGTTTCCTGAGAATTAAGTTCTCAAAGCCTGTATTATTTCTGAGTGAGAGCTGTCTCTCAGTATTTCTTAATTCAAGAGGTAAACTTTAACTTGTCCATTGTATTTCTGAGCCTGTATGTAATTAAAGGCTGTAGCTGTGAGGCTGATGGCTTTGTAATTACCTGTTTCTGAGAACCTGGATAACTGTGGTGCTTATATCTTTTGCCCTTACCTTTAAATGGAAACTTCTTCCCAGATTCTGAATTCAGAAAGTCTAACCAAATCTAACTCATTTGCTCCACAGGACCGGGCCCAAAATCTTAATGAGCGAAGGACAAGTACAACCACCCTGACGGTAGATGTGCTCGATGGAGATGATTTGGGACCAATGTTTCTTCCTTGTGTCTTGGTGAATAATACCCGTGACTGTAGACCTCTCACCTACCAAGCAAGCCTGCCGGAACTGACTGATCCTGTAAGTCCTCTTCATTTTTTGCAGTTGTCATCGTGCGTTTGTTTTGCAAGCAGCTGTCATCTTTTTCTGTGGATGCAACTGAGAGCTGTAACTAGAAAGGTCACATATGCATTATGCCATGTTTTATGTGCTAAACAAAAGGAACCCAAGGTAAGGTATAGGTAAAAATAGATGGTGAAATTGTATCTTGGATACAGTGGTAAATTGCTTGTTCACTACAAGGGCTGAGTCTCGCTGAAATAGGGTAAATTGTGGAATCGCCTTTCCTGATCTGTTCAGGTTTTGCTCTCAAAATATCCTGAAGAAACACTTTTGAGAAGGGACTTGACATGTTACTCCATTCAGGATTGTTACAGACCTTGGAGGAAGACTTTTGGAAGAGGAAGCATTCGTCACTAGTTCCTGAAAAGATTGTGTGTTTTATTAGCTGGTTTCAATCGAGAGGCGCTGTAGAGCAGCACATGTGTTTTCTTGTGTAAGGGCTTGTCCGAAGTATCGATTAGTATGTCAGTTAGGATAGGGATAAAGGTCAGCACGGTGGAACACGCACAGTGAATCACAAAAAGGGGGCGCTGAGAGCTTTATCATTTCTTGAAGAAAGATGGTGCCAACTCCCCTTCCTTACAGGAGAGCTGCTGTGTGGTATACTGGAGATGTGCATCTCTGGTGGGTGAAACAGAAAAATTAATTTCTTCATTGGTATTGACATGTGACCTTTGATTCAAGTAGTTAGCAGTATAAAAAGGACAAACCAATTGAATCACTGGGTATTACCCCACCCGACTGACGTTGACATTAAGACAAATAATTGACACCAAGATCATGGGTTTCTCTTGTTCAGTGCAGGACACGCTCTCTGTCCTGCTTCCTCCCACCAGGAGACTGGGGAGGTTGAGGTTGCAGGTGTGGAGGTTCTTGCTGTTCTCTGCCTTACTTATCCTGTGCCTTGTAGACTTTTGCCAACCCCTGTGTTCTGGTGACCTGCTTTGTCTGGCCTCAGGGTCCTGCTGAGCAGGGGCACCGAGCACTGCCGCCACCCCACACGGCTCATTCAGATCATGCTCTTGGCGCAATTCAATCTCTCACAGTGGTTTTATCCATTTTAGAACCAGCTGAAATTGTGTCTAATAGACAACAGTTGATCAAGTGCTTCTGCACAGGTTAACAGTACAGGCTCTGGTTTAATAATCGGTACAATCTCAAGGAGGTAAGGCGGGGCTTATTGTAGTCAAGATGTATGTAATCAGTTACTGTGCCTTCTGGATAAGGGAGGGCTCAAACAAGTTTCAGGAAGGTGGTATGAGTCTGTGTGGACCCCGTGGCAAACCAGTGGGGGAAGATTGGGTCTTAGAGAGCACATTTCTCTCTGCTGGAGAATCTCTTTCTAACAACTGCAGCCTAATGTGTAAAGTGTAGCAAGACTGGAGCCTTGATATTCAGCTTGTAACAGCATCAATTCAGTTGTGAAAGGGAAGGGGAGAGATCATAGAATCATAGGATGGTTTGGGTTGGAAGGGACCTTAAAGATCATCCATTTCCAACCCCCTGCCATGGACAGGGGCACCTTCCACTAGACCAGGTTGCTCCAAGCCTCATCCAGCCTGGCCTTGGACCCTTCCTTGAACAGGGATGGGGCATCCACAGCGTCTCTGGGCAACCTGTCCCAGTGCCTCCCCACCCTCTCCGGGAAGAATTTCTTCCTGATATCTGATCTAAACCTCCCCACTTTCAATTTAAACCCGTTACCCCTTGTCCTGTCACTCCGTGCCCTTGTAAAAAGTCCCCCCCAGCTTCCTTGTAGCCCCTTCAGGCACTGGAAGGTGCTATAAGGTCTCTCTGGAGCCTTCTCTTCTCCAGGCTGAACAAGCCCAACTCTCCCAGCCTGTCCCCATAGCAGAGGAGCTCCATATGCAAGAGATGTTCGATATTTGACCTTGCTATATTGATTTACTGCATCTCCCACCCCTGCGCCCACCTTGGTATTTGATAACCCTTTAACTGTGTTGTCTGTTTTGTGAATATATGCTCTTCCTTTAAATTTTACATTAATGTGGCTTGGGCTTAGTGTAACATTAAGGAAACTGGGCAACCACAAATTACTCTCCAGCTGAGTACGTGGCCTCATCAGGGTTGCTAGGGCACCCAAACTATGCAGCATGACAGAGGATGACCCCCTTTATCTGCATGGGTCCGATGGAGTGCCCAGTACAGAGGCAGAAATTATTAATAACCGGTGTTCGATCATTACCTTGGTTTTTTATATGGTTACTTTAAGGTCTAGTGCAAATTACAGAATCTCCCTGATACAGCTCTCTGGGATTGAAGGAATCCAGCTCTGTCTCTGTTCCCGGCCTGGATCTCGGGCACATATGCTGTGCTGGAAGACAAAGCAGTGTCTGCCAAGGAGGGCGTCTAGGCTAGGAAAAAATCTGACTAGTGATTTAGATGCTGAGTTGTAAAATGTAGTCATTTAACTTCATAAGCTACAGTCTGTTCAGGTGTCAGCTTTTTGTGTTTGTTTTTTGGCTTTTTTGCGTCACACTGCACCTTGAGAAATCTGATCTGTGAAATGAGAAGCCAGTTCTGTTGATAAACTGCGATTTTTTTGCTGTTTATCTGTTTGTAGTACTGTAGCAGTTTTGATAAATATAAGTGGCAGAAGGATTTTTGAACTCAGAGCTTTACCTTGGTACCTCAGATACTTCTTTCTAAATCATGTTTCATCTAGAAGGTACGGGTGGTACCTAAAAAGACTCAGCTAGTCACCATCTGTATCACATTGGCCCTGCAAACAGCAGTGTGATAAAGTGCAGAGGAGCCTGAGCTGTTTGGCTTAGCTGGGGGCTGGCATCAGGCTCCTGCGATACTCCCATCTGGTCCAGCAGCCTGGGCAGAGGGCCTAGCTCAGACAGAGCTCGAGATTTCTGCGGGCTGTCAAAGCATTGCGTTGCACCACGCAGGCAAGTCCCATCTGAGCCCGGAATGCTGTAAGGCTGTAACTGCGCACGGCGTCAGCGTATAGGGGAGCTGACAGTAACCAATACACTCCTCCAAACCATTCGTCTGAAGCTTCTTGCGCAAGTTGGTTTTTTAAAAGTTTAGTCTTTGCTGTACTGTAGCTGTTGAATCTTCCGGAGGGTGTAGCAAATAGAACAGAACGCTGTTTGCTCAAGTTTTTTAATCATAGTCATTACATAGGCTAAAGGACTTTTTTAGTCCAGCACTGTCACTTCTGCATTGCTCTTTAATTTTTCAATGAACATGAGAAGGAATATTAATGAATCTAAAACAAAGAGCACTGAAATATGAAATATTCAGAAGGACTAGCTTGAAAAAGAAGTCCTGTTTTACAGAGCAAGATGTCTTTTCTGCTGACCTCTAAACTAAAGAATTCAGTGTAACTGGTAAGAATAATATTTTTGTTCAGTCTTGCATGATTACTTTTCTTTAGCTGGCCTCCATCCATGAATGTACTGAGGTAAAAATCATATTTCCTTTCCAAGCTTCTTTCCCTCAGATGCTCTAAAGCAGTTGGGTACAACGGCAGTGAAGAATCCATACAGCCTGTGCTTTGTTTATGATCTTTGGCTGGTGGAGACGGAAGAGGCCAGCAAAATTAATGTATCTGTTTGTTACCAGAGAGGCAATTTATTTTCCTGAAGAACAGAATCAAGGTTTGCGCTGTACCTTCAGCGAGCTGGGCTGACTCATGGCAGTGTCGGTGATGGTATGAAATCTGCTCCAGGCTGGGCTGTGTAATTACTGTCTGCGCACTTGCAAAAAAACCCGGTTTGTATTTCTGCCATTTGGACAGATGGTGTAAACTCCCCCAAAGCTGCAGATCTTCCGAGCAGAGCCAAAGGTTATCTGCTGGTGCGCTCTGGGTGCGCGCGTGGAGCAGGGTGTTGGGGCAGTACCTGCTCGGTCAGCCGGGTGCTGCCTGTCGTCGGCTGAGCTTTGCCGCGGGGTGCGGTGTTCTTCGTCGGTGTTTGCCTGGCTCTGAGGGTGCTGCTTTTGCAGTGCTAGCAACGAGCTGCTGTGAGTAATTGCTCTGATGGTCTTATTAGGTGTAGGACCGCAGCTAAGGCCATGTAAACGTCAGCGTCTCTGAAACCAAATGCTTGTGAGGTGCTTGTGCAACTTTGTAGAGGAGGCAGAAACTCGTAGTTAGGAGTAATCAAACTTTACGTGTTTTTATAGCACATGAGCTATTCTGAATGCTTAAATCCTGCTGTTGGTGAGTGCTGAGGGGAAACTGCCTCACCGCTGCTGAAGCCTGGACACAGAGCTAAGTGAACAGCCCGTAACCCACACCTTAGATTATGTGTTGCTTCCCCGTGCAGTCATTTGCTCGTCAAGTGCTACCTGTTGAGTCTGGTTCGGTGCCCACTGACAGTGAGGGAGTAAACTGCTTTACAAGCTCCCAGACCAGGAGGGAAAAGAAATAAATCTGCTGAGTTTCGAGTCCTCTACTAATCGTAGTAAAAATAGTTATCTTGCAAAAAAGACACCATAGCCCACGATAAGACAGCACTGACGTTCGTTGTTTGAAGTTCTGTCTCATAGTACATGTGCAAATCCTTTCACTTCATTTCCTTTAGGGCAATGCAATGTACAGCTTCACTGTTGTCTTACAGTGAGCTAGCATAAACCTTTCAAAAACTCAAGTTCCACAAGCCAAACATTTTGCCTTATAACAAAAGGAGAAAAACTGTCTTGATAACATCTATTCATCTGAAAAATAGATGAAGGGATGCATGTATGAACCTCCTGGGTCTGCTAATTGCTCCCAATGCTTCTCTGTGTGTTCCCTACTTGTCTCTGGGAATGAATTCACTGTTTTTAGATAAATTCCAGTTTCCAGGAAAACCTGTGCTGTGCGTCTGGTTGGGATGTTGTTACATGGTTTTGTATTTAACTCAGTGTTTCTGTGTCCAGATCTGGTAAGTAATTCTCCTCCTGTTGTTTCAGGAAGACTTCAGTAAATTAGCATTTATTATCAGGATGTGCAAGTTGTCAAATGGAGTTAAAA